GGTAGTTAAATCATCAAAATTGGATCAGTAGATCAAAAGTTATTTATTATTGAAGATTAATATTAAATTTATAATTTAGACCAAAAGAGTTTTTTAATTTTGGCCGGAACTTGATAATTCCGGCCGAAATTACACCTGACACTCCAGCTGACCCACCCACCCCAAAATCAGCTGATTTCTGGAAGCCCCTTACCACATAGTAAAAAAATTCCATTTAGTATTTTTGTTTGGTTTTAAGATAATTGATAGATACCAACTTGATAATATAATATATTAATTATATCAATAATAGAATTAATAATGAATATGAAAATCCAACAATGATGGTGTATGATTCTTTTAGAGAACATTTAGAGAATACAGTAAAGAATAAATTTTGTAATAGTGGTATTGATTTGGCTATTATTCTGGTGGCTTGACTAGTATTTGTCAACCACTTGATATTGCAATTAATAAGTTATTTAAAGATAATCTTTACAAAGAATAGTATCTTTGGATGTCAAAGGTGGTGCTGAAAAAACTCTAGCTGGAAATCTTCGACATGCTAGAAATAAGTGATGTGTGTAAATGGGTAAAACGTTCTTGGAAACAAATTTTGGATAATATTATTATCCAATCCTTTATAAAATGTGATATTTTAAACAATTTAACAGATACCAATAATAATAAATTAGAAGATACTGTTAATAAATATGAGAATAATGATATTGAAATTATAGATATTAGTGATAACACTGAAATTGTAGATGTAGATAATGATATTAATATAATTGATATTAGTGGAGATATTGATATAATTGATATTAGTGAAGATATTGAAACTATGAACATTAGCAATGATATTGAAATTATGGACATTGACGATAATGTTAAAATTATAGACATTGACAATAATATTGAGATTATGGACATTGACAACAATTAGTTTTATTTGTTGTAATTATAAAGCTGTACTATATAATTTAATATTTGCAATAGCAAAAACAAACAAATAAATTAATTAAATATTTTAATATTTGCAATGGCAAAAACAATTAAATAAGTAAATTGAATATTTTAATATTTGCAATAGCAAAAACAAATAAATCAATAAATAAAATCTATTAAAGTCTATTATTGTGAAGTTAGTAGCATAAAACTAATATAAACATAGAGGGGTGCTTATTTTTGGATATTATACAAAATTTAATGGTGCTTAATTTTAGGGGGTGTTTAATTTCAGAACTATACAGTAGCCTACTTATTGAAAAAATTGCTAAAAAAGTTGTGAAGGTTGATTTGAAAGAGTGTGGTTGAACTAGAGCCAAAGAAAAAGAGAGCTAAGATCTAATATAAACTTTAAAATTCTACAGAATGATTTTAGATACTGTGAATAGTTGCATAGAAGAAATTAGTATTAATAATGATATAGTTAGAGATATTATTAAAGGTATTAACAGTTATAGCAAGAGATTTTAGCTTTGGTAACAGCTAAGATAATAAGTTTGTACAAGGCTTTTCTTTTGCAGAATGTTATACTTGGCAATAGATAATAAAGTTCATTTGTTAACTCAGACAATTAAGAATATCAATTGGCTAGTAAAAAATTTAAGAAAGTGAAATAGCTAGCTAGTCTAGAAGCCCTCTCAAGTAAATCCAGTTTATATAAATGCTTTGATAACTAATTGGTGTAGAATTTTCTATAAACACAAAAGCTTTGGAAAGTTGGTTATACTTTTATACAGTCATACCTCCATATAATCACCCATTTTGTCTAATACTTTTTGGTAATTATATAGAGGGGTGATTAAATAGAATTAAAATAAAATTACCTCTATATAGTGATAGGAAGTGACAAATTTTTAATCAACTAAGTTGACTAAAATCAACTGTTCAACTAAATTTTATTAGTTGACTAAAAATTAACTAAAAATAAAGATAATAAATATATAGACTACATAGCGTTGTACATGCACTGGAAATATTTTAGAGTTTTTGAAATATTTCAGAACATAATTCTGGCTTGCATTAGCAGTAAGCTGCTATAATACTAGCCAAAATTTATAATGTAGGCCAAAATTCTATTTGCATAAAATTTGAAAAAACTCAACACTAATATAGACTAATAGTTAACCAACATTTTTGATTGGTTACTAATAAATTGTAATTTATAGTATTTACTTTATATAATATACGACTAGTCGACTAATCATAAAATTAGTTGACTGA